ACATAGATAAGATTTAATTGGCCAGTTACTAATGGTGTGGACAGGCATCCTTCTGTGCTCTGTCCACGTCCTTGATATTTAGTAAGCAATGTGTGCAGATGTTGTTGGTACGGCGTGTAGCTAAAGTAACAATCGTATCTAAGAGAAAAGAGGAGTTTCCACTATCTCCAGGTTTGCAAACCAGTTCTCACTGGCCACAATATCTTCAAGGACATAAGCTCAGCACAAAATACAAACTCAGAATACATAATAACTTGAAACTTAATTAATTCTAAGAACCATAGGCTTCATGGAAAAATACAGACTCAGAACACATAATAGCTTGAATCATACTTAATTATAACATGGCTAAATTCAGACAAAATAATTAACATACACAATTTCGAAATTCAACAGCTTTTAAAATTTAGAATCAGATGAGCCTGATTTGCTTCCACGTAGCTAAGGGAAAAGCCAACCCAGTCTCATGGGAATTCGTGAAATAGTCATGAAATTTAATCTATTGTTTCGTGTCCTGATACGATTTGCCCAAACTTTTTCGTGTTCCCCAGCACGAATTTCAAACCAATACATTTCAATTGGAATTATCTTTCGTGTCTGGGACATGTTTTTTTCCACATTAGACAGCGCATATGCTGTGATGTTTTTGTCATTCTTTTCTTCTGACATTCAGGCATTAACCAGTTTTACTGTTATGGCCCGTCCACACTAATAAACATAGACCAACGTTAACGTAATCTGAAAAGAAAGACACATGCCGGAAAATGGCAACCAGAAGATGTACTGTGATTGCAGCGAGTGTACAGTGTAAAAGATTAAATCGTATTGTGGCATTTTTTGTGTTTTTATTACACTGGCAGTGTTTTGGGAAAATTTGCGCTCATTGCTAAGGCAACCCTGTTAACATCGGCATGCAGCCTCGCCAGAGACCCGGAAGAGATCCGTCCTACAGAGTCTGTAATGTTTTTGTGTGTACAGTCGGTGGCAGTAACACACCTGAACGTTGGATGCCAACAGTCAAATCAATAGAAGAAGAAGCAGCAGCTTGGCTAGGCTATTAGCTAATGTAGCCAGCCTCAACGAGCTGGGAACACGAAAAAGTTGGGCAGATCGTATCAGGACACGAAACAATAGATAAAGTTTCGTGCCTATTTCACAAATTGCTGTGAGACTGGGTTGGCTTTTCCCTCTACTAACATTACTTGTCTTGCTCACCATGGCTACCTCTCAGGTGAAAAGCTCACTACTGCCCCTAGAGGCCCGGGGCACTTGTGTTGTGTGAGTGGATATGCAGCATTTTCTTTTTGCAGCGTGTTTCTGTTTATACAACGCATTCATGTATATGCAGCTCGTTTGTGTATATGCACATCGTTTGCCCCTGTCGGCCACTGTAGTAAACAATTCATGTTACAAAATACACATTAGTGAAATCCATCTGACTGGCACTTTTGTGTCAGCCAGGCGGATATTGCTTATGTAGCAAGTCACGATGGAAATCTTTATGATAACACGAAATAATCTTTTGACAACAAAAGCAGTAATTGTAAGAATAAAAACAAAACAAAGTGTTCAGGTATTTGATACTTTATTAAGCTTTAAATCAGTTGTCAGGTTCTAAGTGCAAAGTCTGTCAACATTGTGGTACCTAAAAACAGCAGCTTTGTGTTTACAGGTTGGGCAGACGTGCATGCAGAATGCAGAATGTACATCACATTCGTTACCAACATAAATAATACATAATGTGTGTCTCAGGTTGGAGTCCTTTTGTATTTTGAAAAAAGTTTTATTTTGACAGGCATGGTAGTTCGTCTGATGTTCGTTTTAAGTTTGTGTTGATGTTGGGATGCAAGATGGCAAATATGACCAGGAGGATTTAAAATGTGGATTTTCGTACTGGGCTGGACACAAATAGGTGAATTGCCAACTATTCGTTTGCTGTGCTCAGTTTTGGAAATATGGAGCAATAAACACGGCGTTTAGAGCTCCCCTCAAAAAAATCAGCAGCTGTTTCACTGTTGACTTTTTGTGACACATCCTGATTGCCAACAGGAAAGTTGTGGCGATCGCAATGAGGGCGCCTCCTTTTCCTGAAGACCCTGCAAAACACAACAGAAATTACATGAGGATGAAAAATGCATGAAATTATAGGTGAATTAAATAGTGGTAAATTTTAACCCACCCCTGTGTACTTGTAGGGCCTATAACTTGGAAAATATGCAACCCAGTCTCACAGTCATTTGTAAAATAGTCACGAATTTTCGTGTCCTGGGACACGATTTGCCCAAACTTTTTCGTGTTCCCCAGCACGAATTTCAAACCAATACATTTCAATTGAATTATCTTTCGTGTCTGGGACACGTTTTTTCCCCCTATCAGACAGCACATATACTGTGATCTTTTTCTCGTTCTTTTCTTCCAACATTCAGGCATGAACCAGTCCTCCTGTTTTTCCCACACTAATAACTATAAAGATCACTATAAATATGTGGGCACCCACACTGACCAACGTTAGTGTAATCTGAAAAGAAGGAAACATGCAGGAAAACGGCGACCACAAGATGTACTGTGATCGCAACAAGTGTATAGTGTAAAAGAGTACATCGTATTGTGGGATTTTTGGTGTTTTTATTACACCAGCAGTGTTTGAGGGAAAACACACATATATATAAATTCCTCTGTTTTTTTTTGTTTGTTTTTGTTTTAGCTCAATGTACATAGCTTAAGGCTGCATGATTAACTTCAAACTATAGAACTATTATAAAACTCTGAAAACCTCCAACAGTAACAGGCTCAGAGTGTACGGCCGTCTGCCTCGACCATTAGGGTCCTGGTTATACTTACCTCGGAACCCTTACAGATATTAAAGTTCTCTTACATGTTGTAACTGGTCCCAAGTTTACTGTGTACCCTAAAACTGTACAGACAGGTGTGGTAAGTGTGAGTGTAACCTGGAGCCTCACGTGGTCGAAAACGCTGTCTTTTGGATTCTGGAGGGAGACGAGAGAGAAATATTAATCCTGACAAGAAATGGGAGGACAGGAAATGTCATATATCATTCTGATGCACTTGGCATCTATGTGGACTCTGTAGCATGTGCATGTTTTGCATCTATTTTAAAGAGCAGTTTGCAGCTTTTTCAACTTTTTTTTGTCCAGTGCGGATATTTTGCATTGATTTTTGTCCAAGAAATTTAGAATGTGGAAAAATTAAACAATGCACATTAATAAAAAGTATCACTTTGATCATACGTACGTTCACTTTAAGGGTCTGGAACGCTGCACCGTCCTGATCGTACATCAGTGTTCCTAAAAAGGTGCCTTCATCACTCATGGTGTTCACTCCCTGAAAATGAAAAGACAAAGGGGATCAGTTGAACAAATCATTGTGAACTGTGGAAATCATGATGACAGATGTTTGTCGGATGTTTTCAGGACAATGTGTGACTTACATAGACAGAAAACTCCCTCGGTGCACTTCCAATGCTTCCAGATGGGGACTGTCCTTTACTTATGTGACCCAGTGTCACATGAGTGATGGAGACGGGGTGGGACAGGGAGATGAACAAATGTCCACGGTCTCCCAAGAAACACCAACATTCACCANCAAAACGTGTAAGACTTCATTCGGTGTTTGTACAGCTGCGGAGCTAGCGGTTAGCCGGCAGCTAGCGAAGGGAAGCGCTGAGTTTATGCCTTCATTTAACACGGCTGGTGTAAGAGTTTCTCATGGTTCTGTACTGGTTTGGGGTTATTGTTGGTGTGTTTGTACTGAAAGTAAAGCTGACTATTGAATAGTGCTATTTCTTTAAATTAACAATAAAGCAATTTCTTTTTCAGATGTTTTTGGTTGTCGAATTTGCATCCAGCAAAACTGTGAACATCATACCAGAGAAATGGTTTGCAGATGGTGTCACTTGGTGGCCAAACTACATTACAGATGAACGCATAAATAGAGCGGTTCAAAAATGCGAGGACCCAGGAACAGGCTGGACACTTTATAATGTCCGTGTCCTCTCCAGAGCTGGTAAGGATCCATTTTGGAGATGAAATTAAATTTTTTGCATTTGAAGTGAACTGATTTTTTTTTGTGAATTCTGATCAGGTGATTATCTAAAGGCAAGGGACAAATTGAAGGCCTCACTGACATGTAACACGTCAGAGTTACAAACAGATGACGAGGAAGAAGTGGTTAGAAAAAGAAAGGTTAAGCCAAGGTTTGATGCTCAGAGTTGTACAACACACATTCAACATTCAGGCTGATATGTTTAAAGGAGCTGTATGTAAGAAATGTATGTTAAGTAATCATAAAATCACCCAATATGTCACCAGAGACAATGGAATCGTGTTCATAAATACTGTACAGCCAGAATATTTATTAGCATTGAACACTCACAAATTATGTGTATGATTGATACATACAGTATTGAATACTTATCAATCAAGTCGCTGCCAACGTCGTGATTGGGAGTTAGCTGCGAGTGACGCAACAGGCCAAAACACAAAATCAAAACATACACATATTTTGTGAGTGTTCAATGCGAATATTCTGGCTGTACAGTATTATGAACACGATTCCATTGTCTCTGGTGACATATTGATAGTGAAGGATAAAACCCCGACTGAAAACACTGAGCTGCTCATGACGTTTATTCTGCATTAACATGTCTCATGTGTTGGCTCATCTATGGCCTGAAGAACATGCACTAAGCCTCCTGTAGATGCAGGGTAACAGTGTGTCTGTCTGTGTGTGTCAGCGCTGTGCACACACAGACACACATGGGGTGTAGCATCAGAGCGAAACAACAACCTGCTGATTACCAATGCTGATGTGAACTGTGAGTCAGAGCAATGAAACAGAGTAAAAAGCTAAATTCATTATCTGCTCAACCTTCAGAAACGTTAACATCCCATGTAGGAAATATTTTACTATGATGACAGACTTAAATGTACTGCTGCTTCATCATCTCATGCAGGTAGTTACTACTGCAATCTAACAGTAAGTGAGTCTTGGTATACCATAGCCACAAAGCTGGAGCAGGGCAGTGGTTAGCATGTGGTTGTCTCGCAACCTCAAGTCTGGGGGACGGGAGGGGAAACAATGCGTTGCAGTATTTTGAATTTGACTGGAGCAACAGTTTTGGCCACAATGCTACTTTACATATAGCTCATTTAAGACAAGCTCACATACTATGTATTGCAAAATCTTTACATTTTGCTATTTCAGAGGTCAAATGGCACAGTGATTCCTAGAGTAGATTCATACTAATTGAATCTTGTCTGTTTGAAGCAACTCTTACTCATTTTGAAGTTGTTCATTGATGTATAGCTCCAGCATAAATTAAACACCAGTGAGTAAGAGGAGTCTCCCAATTGGTTTTGGCTGGTTTTACCCATTACAAAAGTTAATTAACTAGTCTTTGTTGTGAATTGTTTTGTTTGTTAGGATCATCTTTGGGGATACAGACTCTGAGTCTGAAGACAGGGAGCCAGAGGGGGCTAAAAAGAGGAGACACATCAATTTCTCTCAGACTCCATTGCCTCCNCGGTGCACTTCCAATGCTTCCAGATGGGGACTGTCCTTTACTTATGTGACCCAGTGTCACATGAGTGATGGAGACGGGGTGGGACAGGGAGATGAACAAATGTCCACGGTCTCCCAAGAAACACCAACATTCACCAGGACGTAGTGCTGAATGTCCCTGAGGGGAGAAGATCAAATATTTTAGCCTCCACAGTTAAACAACAGTTTTCATGTCCATGTTGTTTCATATTTAACAACAGAAGACATTAAAATGGAATTGTGTGTGTGTGTGTGTGTGATCTGTACCTGAATCACCCTTTGCTTGATTTTGGGTCTAAAATCAATGCAGAGCATCCTCACGATTGATCTTGGGTCTGGTGGGGGCCAAAATGTTTCAGAGGACAAATCGTATTGAATTCTGGCTCCTGCTCAAACAATCAAAGGGACACATGTTAGAAATCAACAAGTTCTGCTCATAAAACGCAAACATGAATCATAATGACACAGATGAAGACTGTGAGGATTACCGACCTTGTGAGGCTAGGGCAAAGTTTGGGATTGTGTCTGTCAGGGGAGCAAACATGTCCATCCTTTGCCTGAAGGACCAGAGTTCCTGCTGCGCATCTTTTAACTACAGCTTTATATATGCTACCACTGAGAGACAAAACACACAAAATGTCAGAAATATGCTTCTTTCTAAGCAAGGAATCTGAACCAGAGGCTACTCTAAAACATAATCATAATAATACATTTATTTTGTATAGCACTTTTCACAATACTCAAAGTCGCTTAACAGGGAAAAAAATAAAAACAAGAACAAAACAAGTTAAATACAAAACATGATTTAAAATCATGTTGAAGTCACTCACCAAAATACAAAGGTAGCAGGAGGAGAGAGCAGCTGATGGCAATCAGAACATGTCTCAGTTTTGGAAATACGGAGCAACAAGCACGGCGTTTAGAGCTCCCCTTAAAAAAGTCAGCAGCTGTTTCACTGTTGACTTTTTGTGACACATCCAGATTACCAACAGGAAAGTTGTGGCGATTGCATTGATGGCGCCTCCTTTTCCTGAAGACCCTGCAAAACACAACAGAAGTTAGATGAGGATGAAAAATGCATGAAATTATAGGTGAATTAAATAGTGTGACATTTTAACCCACCCCTGTGTACTTGTAGGGCCTGTAACTTGGAAAATATGCAACCCAGTCTCACGGCAATTTGTAAAATAGTCACGAATTTTAATCTATTGTTTCGTGTCCTGGGACACGATTTGCCCAAACTTTTTCGTGTTCCCCAGCACGAATTTCAAACCAATGCATTTCAATTGGAATTACCTTTCGTGTCTGGGACACGTTTTTTTCCCCCACCAGACAGCACATATACTGTGATCTTTTTGTCGTTCTTTTCTTCCGACATTCAGACATGAACCAGTCCTACTGTTTTTCCCACACTAATAACTACAAAGATCACTATAAATATGTGGGCACCCACACTGACCAACGTTAGTGTAATCTGAAAAGAAGGAAACTTGCAGGAAAGCGGCGACCACAAGATGTACTGTGATCGCAACAAGTGTATAGTGTAAAAGAGTACATGGTATTGTGGGATTTTTGGTGTTTTTATTACACCAGCAGTGTTTGAGGGAAAACACACACACACATATATATAAATTCCTGTTTTTTTGTTGTTGTTTTTGTTTTAGCTCAATGGACATAGCTGAAGGCTGCATGATTAACTTCAGACCATAAAACTATTATAAAACTCTGAGCAGCTTCTGATGGCAGTGGGGAGGAGAAAACCCTTTTAACAGGGGGAAAACCTCCAACAGTAACAGGCTCAGAGTGTACGGCCGTCTGCTTCGACCTGGAAGGTCCTGGACTTTGGAATCCCTTACAGTTATTAAAGGTCTCTTAAAGGTGGTAGCTGGTCTGAAGTTTACCTTTTACCCTAAAACTGTACAGACAGGTGTGGTGAGCGTTTCCCCAGTTGTTCTCAATCTGCAGCCTCACGTGGTTGAAAACGCTGTCTTTTGGATTCTGGAGGGAGACGAGAGAGAGAAATATTAATGACAAGAAATGGGAGGACAGGAAATGTCATATATAATTCTGATGCACTTGGCATCTATGTGGACTCTGTAGCATGTGCATGTTTTGCATCTATTTTAAAGAGCAGTTTGCAGCTTTTTCGACTTTTTTTTTGTCCAGTGCGGATATTTTGCATTGATTTTTGTCACAAAACTTTAGAATGTGGAAA